AATATAAATGAGTTTTGTCTAACATTACATAACGATAAAAATCGTAAGTAAACTGAGCGCGCGTCACACATATCTCTCGACCGTGCGTATGTGTGCGTATCATTTACACAGACGTGCGCGTGTGTCGTGTACGCGCCAAGAGATCGCTTGCGTTTATATAATGGTAGCACCTGGAAGTGTGAGACCATTGAATCGCCGGCTGTCAGAATCATACGCTACTCCGACATCTCTACTCGCCGAAAGAATGAAATCCTACACGCTTGTATTCGTTGTTCTCACGACCATCCTCCTCTACACTGGTAAGTGATCACCTTTTATGTAAAATGAAAAATTATAACATGCTAATATATATTTCTAGAGCACTAATATAAATGTATCATAAATTTTTACTCTGCGCATATGAGATTTAAAAGAAAAGAAAATTAATTTCATACATACTAAATTATTATATGTAAATTATTGTATGTAAATACGAAATTATTATTTAAATGTAATGTTAACGAAATTTTTCATTCAAATTTAAAAACCTTTTGTTTTAAAATTAAAATATTGTAAAATTTCATAAGATATATGTATAAAACATTTGAATGTTTTGTTACTATTTTTTATTTTTATATTTCTTTTGTTTTTTTGCAATTTTAAAATATTATTAAATTAAATTACTAAAAACTAAATTACTAATTTTTTCAACGCATTAAAAGAGAAAGTTAACCTATCTTTCTTACAAATATACGGTAACAGTAATTTTATATGCTTTCATACTTTTTCAGATAAGTTAAAATTAAAATTTATGTAATATTATTTCTTTATAACTGGAATTCTTATGTTCTACACTATATATTTATGTTCTACTATGAAAATAATAAAGACTTTATCTTATGTGAAAAAATATTTTATGTGACTGACCTTGTGTGAAATAATATTTAACTGCGTGATACCAATGCGTAAAATATATATTTCGTTTTTTTAATACCTGAAATATCTTTTGTATCAAACGTTAAGAAAATATCTGTGAAAGCGTTAAATATCTCAAATGCGTTCCTTGATATATTTTGTATATCTGACATTACTTATTTTGTAATCATTTAGTACAAAAAAAATGTTTATAAATATATTAAAGTTCAAGGATAACAAAATCATAAATTTGTTTTCAGAATATGCCAATACGCAGGAAATATGTCATCAAGAGAACTGTGTTGTGCCCGATCACTGTGACACGTTTGCAGGAGGTGAAAACTTATGCTATCAACAGGGTACATCGTGCTGCAGCGTAGGTAAGTTTGCACTTTGTAAAATATTTCTACACTCTATTTAAAAGACGATAAAAAAATAATAGGAAATCGTTTCAATCGTTTTTAATTATAGAATTAATAAAAGATTATCACATAAATCCACGATTTATTCTCTATCGTTTCCTTTCATAACTACTATTTTATTTATTGTTATATAACTTCACAATAAAATTCACAATAAGATTTAAATATTTTCATGATATGCGGCAGGCAGATCAACATCTGACTATACATACTTTCATGAGATTCTCTTTGTCACAAATTTCGAAAACATTTGGCATGTTAATTTATGTATGTGGCACTTTCACGCGTCAAGTTATACGCCATTTTTCATTTTTACTCGATTTCTATCCAATGACATCTTTACGGTATCATCAGGGGCCATATTCTTAAAAAATATATACATACGAAAATGTATGAAAATATTATAGTATACATAAAGTAATACAATATATTATAAATTTTCCTAATATTTTTTTATATGCAATATTTTTTTAGAATAAGGTCTCTAAATATAAATTCGTATCTAATATGATTTTTAAACAAATTATTAAACATGTATCAACTGTATTTACGTTTTATATGTATATATGCGTATTTCCTATAAATATAATAATATTGTAATGTTTTGTAAACGTGTAAGAAACACATATTTCAAACTAACTACTTTAAAAGTTTCTTTCTCTTTATGTAGCAATATTATTACTCGACAAATTTTTTTATTTAATAAATTCTTTATAATTACAGTTAAGTCAGAGTTCAGAACTCATTGCCGTCACTATGGTGGAATCTGCATGGACAAATGTAATCCGACCCTGCAACACAACACAATTGATTGTGACAATCAAGTCTGTTGCGTTTTGGTTTAGATAAAACTAACTAATACATAGTATCCAAATCCATAATCTCATCCTGATCATAACTGTTAAGTCCTAGTTTAATTAACATAATAAAATATAAAAATATAAAATATGAAAAGAATAATTTAGTGTTTAACATTTAACATTTTTTAATACAACAAGAAGTATATATTATCTAATTGTCATTGAAAAAAATTTGTTCTTCTCAATGAAAGCGTATATATTATCTCCATGTTGCAACATAGAGAGAATTTTATTTGATTCCTAATTATAATAAGATTGAATCTGAGACTTGAGAAAATTAAAAAATAAAACATATACTTGTGTCATCCGTATATGAATCATTTATTTTAAAAGTCTTATGGAATAAAATATTCAAAAAATACGTCATATATATTATAATTCTATATATTGATATTAATAAATTTCTTTTAAAAAATATATTGATTTCAATATAAATATCTTATATATATATTTTAATACACAAATCATAATAAATTAAATGTAACTTAATACAAATGTAAAACATTGTTAAATAAAAATCTCTTAATTATAATTCTCGTAATTATTTTGATCTACTTAAATCTGATCTTTTAATAGCAACATTACGATTATCAATTAATTTATTAACTACATATTTAATTACATATTTAACTAAGAATTAAAAATCTATCGAATAAAAACCCATCCAAAAATTAACATTATGTATTAAATAACATGTTATATTACTGATTAGACAGATTATATAAATTTTTTGAAATTATAATTGCATTTTTCGTCATCTTCTTATACAATTATTTTTATACAAATTATCAAATTTCATATCAAATTAAGCCCTTTATCGATAGTATTATTAGAAAGACTAGCCATTTTCAGTAGAGAGGATATTCCTCTTATATTCTTTGAACAATCATAATTTTAAAGACAAGTCAGAAAGGGGAAAGGGCAAGAAAACAAGGAAAAGGAGAGAAGGCAAGCGGGATATACCGTGAAGTTTTATCCGGAAAGAAAAGTTGCCTGGAGCGGAGGCGAGCTGAGACGGTTGACAAGAGGTCGGTCAAGGAACAACATGTACAAGAGAGGCGGCCAAAAGAAGGACAGAAACGAGTGAGGGGAGGAAAAAAAGAAGAAGGAAGATGGTGTACAGGGGAAAGGGTATGCTCTTCGCCATGGGCAATGCAGCCAAAGAGAGAGAACGTAGGATAACATGTATATATCTTTGCATATACAAAACCGTATTGGCTAGCCCTCTATGAATCATGTAGAAAAGGAAAAGAGAAGAAGCAACATGAAATACACAAAACAATAGTAATATTTGCCTCATTTTATTTACATAATAACAATAAAGTCATTTTTATATTTTTCTTTTGTTTTCTTTCACATTAATCATTTTTAGAAAAAATAAATTGGGACAAATAGGTTAAGAGAATAAAAAGTATACGAGACGAGATTTTAATATGATGAATATACGCAATCGCGCACGGAAATGTATAAAAATCATTTGACTTAATCCAAAGATGAAATCATATAAACTTGCAGTGCAATGAAGCAAATAAAAGTAACTTTGTACTTTTCACATTTTATCTTTCCAATACCAGTCAGATACACATTTTATAAAATTAGTACAGTCAGATACACATTCTATACTCTGAAGAGTATGTGGCAAATGAGAAAATAGGTGTAAAGCTGAAGTAGATAACGTAGTAATTACGGCAACGAAAGAGACAGTTGGAAAATAAATTACGTTAAAAGGTCGTAACAGAATCGTTGACATTTCCATCGGACCGCAATATCGCCATTCTCAATTTTGTTTGAAATTTCTCTTTCTATTTCTCTCATAACGAGCGCAATTGAAAAATATGCGATGGCAAGAAGAAAAAGCAAGAGTTGTGTCGCCACAGGCGATACGGGCAGATGCCAATATGACGGTACACGCACGTACACGCGCAAGAGATGTTTCGGCTGGCCCGGGGGTAAAAGCGCATAATATTACGTGGAACAAGAAGAAGCTCATCCCTTCCACGACTCTCCGCCCGCAGCATCAGCAAGAAGGACACCCTCAGGCTTACTTGGCGGGGAAGATACGAGGAGCACAGCAACTTCAACGAGACTACGATAACGAAACGGCGATAACATATTATCTCCCGCGCGCGCACACACACACACACACACACACACACACACACACACACGCGAGTGCTTTAAGGAGCGAAACGGAAAGTACCGATGAAGAACTTTGAAAGTAAATTTCGCAAAGCGCACGGTAACGCCCGCGGTGGGTAGATTATCCTAATCTCATTATTTTTCTTGCGATAAATGATGCCATCAAGCAAGTAGAATGCGAAGTTCAAGAGGAAGGGGTGGCACAGCGTTGCCGCGAGCGATGCAGGCAAATGCCGGCGATGTGATGGTACCGCGTACCTGCCTTGCCTGCCCTGCATGCATGCATGCACCGTGCACGAGTGCATGCATGCATGTACGCGCGCGTGCGCTTGCTCGTGCACCTACCTACATGTACACATATTAAAATATGTATATACGTATACGCGAGTCCTTTCGGTTCGCCCCCCCCCCCCCGCGGGCGTACGAAGGTGCGGGATCGTGCGCCGTGAAAGAAGAAGAAGGACGCGGTCTTCCTTCCCCTTTCTTCTCCTCGCGTTCATCCCTCTGTCGTTGTGCGCGAGAGATGCCCCCGGGGTTAGACGCGCGGTACTCTACACCCCACCTATGAAGTGGCGCGGTGGAGGCACGGTCGTTTCGCTGCAGGCGCGGAAACGGAGAGGAGATAGCGGCGAGTACGTCCTCTCCACCTTCGTGTCCCAGTGAGAGAGGTGGTCGAAAGGCGAGTCAGAAGGGTGGGGAAAGAGAGAAAGAGAGGGATCTCTGTTGCCCCGAAGATATCCAGCGAGACAATGCGCTCCGTGACGCCTCGGGCGACTCCGAGGCAGACCGTAGTTCTCCCTCGTTTTCTGCTCCCTCTTTCCATCCTGGCCTCTGGCGATTCTTCGCCCTTCCGTCTCGCTTCTTCCCCTCTCCATCCACCATGCTTTCTTCTCATAACTTCTTTCTCTACCTCGCCCACACTGAGGCCCTTTCCATTCGCTATTTACATAAACTTTTGTTGGGATATTGAAATTATTCTATAAAATATATATACAGAGATGCGTATAATTCCTGGAGAAATTTATATATCTCTCTTAAAAAGATCATATCCAGCGGAATGGAGGAAACAAAAATGTTGGTTACCACTTAATATATAATATATATATATAACTAGAATAATTGATTTATAAATCCAGACCTTTACTTTAATTTTCGCGAGAATTCGTAAAAAGAAGGATGAAAGGCTATTTTATTTTTTTTCTACAGGATGCCTGCCTATTAACGACACATGGTCTCTTTAATCTCACATCTAAATACGGTTGGATTATTACGAGTCGTTTTCGGTGGCCTTATTCGGTGCTCACTTTGTTTCTCTCGGCATTCCCGGCATGTCATTACTTCTCTCTGAATCTCCGCGGCTGTCTCCGCTGTGTTTCCACGACGTAAAATTTCTAGAATGTCACCCCAATTGCAATAAAGCGTCCTTCTTTGCTGCCAGCTCACCCGCTCTTGCCTCTCTAACACAGCCTCCTCCTTCACCTCCTCTGCGGTGTTCTCTCTCCTAGTGCACGCTCGCTTGGAGGGAGTAACGATGCCCCGGAGCGGGCCTCCGCGGCGCGGCACCGTGGTAACGATAAGCAACGAAATGAAATATTAATGAAGTACCTGAGCGCACGTCCATTTTTCGCGAGCGTCTCACCACCAACGCCCCAGGTGCCGAAGAAAAAGTCGGCCGCTTCATCGGAAGTAAAAGAATCGCTAGAGAATAGAAGAACAATAGAAACGACTTCTATATGTCATTTCTTGTAACATCTAGATTGCAGTATTCTTTCGAGTTAACAACCTTGACTTATATCAAGGAAAAATCTTAATTATATTAACTTTTTACAATTAACAAAGTACACGATTTTTCGTCATTACTAATTTCTTCCGTTTTGTACGTTTAACGTTTCCGTCATATTTCTGCTAAATTATTTAAAACTTTCCGAAATTGAAAGATGTCCGAAATTATACTTTAACTCAATTAATTATGCAAAAAAAAAAAAAAATAAATACGATAAAGAAAAATACGCTTTATTATAATCAATAGAAAATAAAAGTCGATAGAAAACAAAGCGGGATCTTTAGGGCTTAAATAATTTGGTATAAATTTATATACTGCAAATCAAATCCTGTCAAACTGAGCGCTAAATTGATTTTTCAGTCTTGAAATGCTATACCAATGGAACTACTGTAGTACTATCACAAATTAAGTTGCTGAATAATTTAATGCGCATAGGAATCTTAGAATAATTAATGTTTATCAGCATCTTAACGATGTCGATAAACATATTAAAATCTGTAAATAATTTATTGGAAAAAATATTACTTCGGCCGGGAATCAAATCAAGATGCATTCTAAATCTTTGGATCAAGTTCTATAGTAAGCGTTTAGATTAAAGACAAAGTCTAAAACTTAGATCGAGTCTAAAGTAGTCTAAAACTTTAATCAAAGGCTTAGGATGCTCGCACGGAATGCAAGAAATCCGGGTTCAATCTCCAGTTGAAGTAATATATTGTTCGCAAAAAAAAAAAAAATTATTTACAGATTTTATAGACTTTATTTATTATTGGTTATGTATTTACATATACAACTCAATAAGATGCTTATTGTTCACTTAATTATAATTAGGATATTTGAAAAATTATATAATTTTAAAAAGTGGGCCAAATTGGACATCAGAGATTTAAAGAAAAGTTAGGCACCGGATGTAAATATTTTGCATTTTTTATTAACATGCATGATTATCGGAATCTATTTATACGACGCGTAACGAGAATGTTATAAGTGCGCCTATGTTATGACAGTATAAACTCCGACTGTTGCGAAAGTAAAACGATCACATCCCGATTACAGCCGGCCGGTAATAACGCACCGCTTGCATTTAGCCCTTCAGCGGAATTCGAGCGCCACATTTTCGC